GTTACAAGAGAGGAACATACACGATAAGGTCATATAGGTGCCGAAGACTAGAGGTGTTACAAGAGAGGAACATACACGATAAGGTCATATAGGTGCCGAAGACTAGAGGTGTTACAAGAGAGGAACATACACGATAAGGTCATATAGGTGCCGAAGATTAGAGGTGTTACAAGAGAGGAACATACACGATAACGTCATATAGGTGCCGAAGATTAGAGGTGTTACAAGAGAGTAACAAACAGAAAAAAATAAAGGAGGAGAGATAAGGAGGATAGATGTTTGATGGGGAACAAGGAGCAAACCACACCAGATACCAAGTTCCCTCTTCATGGAGTCTCTGCTTCCTTTGGTCCTTTGGGAATGGCTAAAAGACACTTCAGTCAGTAGCACTGCCCGGGGGGGGTACCAGACAGTTTGACACACACAGGTGACAATTAGCTACCCCAAAAAAGAGAGAAAATCCTGAACTTTTCCGACACGTACAAACGCACGAGAGGGGACTCAAACTTTACTGATCATGTTGTCTAGTGCACCTTGTATCAAGCAGGTGGGGAAAATCTGGACAATTTCAGAAACTGGGCGCTCTGGTGTGGTCTGCTCCTACTTTCGGATCAATCAAAGATCTGTCGTCCTTATCTCCCCCCCCCCCCTCTTTTCTAGGTATGCTGCTCTCGAGAAACATCTCTAACCTTCAGCGTGGGTGGTTGGTGGGTGCTCTGTTGTGGTTTGCTTCTTCTTTCCTATAAAAAATCTATCGTCCTTTTCTCCTTTACTCTCTTGTAACACCTCTACTCTTCTGGCGCTCATATGACCTTATGCAGTTGCGAGCGCCGTAAACCTCTACTAAAACATAACTAACCTTCAGCACTTATTTGACCTTCTATTTGTGTAGCAAGTGCCGTAAAAGTATTACTAAAACGATTCATTTCAAAAGTCCAGATTTCCGGATTTATTCAGAAAACCAACCCCTCTGGACACAGGAAAAAGGCAAAAGACAATACGGTCGCTTTTAAGGACAAGCGGGCTAACCCAAATTTAAGGGGTTTCCAGAAATCTGGACGTAGACCAAAAGTGGGCATTGCCCTACCTATAGGAGAAGTTTGGTTTCATTGGTGTGTATATTTGTTTGGTTATAGAGAAAACTCTTCTTGTCTTTTAAAGAAACTGAACACTTACAAAGGTCCAAAAACTTTACCTTCGATTTTCTCAAAACAGCAGTTATCGGGATAGCCCCCTTGTGCTTCAAAGCGACCGTGATATCTACACATCATGTCAGCCCCAGACGACCGCCCGTTATCTCAGAGAAAACTGGTCGTCTTAGACAGGGGCTCCTCTTGGACAGTCTCATTAGCACTATAGTTGTTTTTTTAACGCGGGGGGGGGGGGGGGGGC